AAGCACATCAAAGTTAGAGCAGGAAACAAAGATTACCTCAGAAAGACTATGATGTTTGCGTTAATCTCTCTGACAGCATTTTACGGCCGCATTTAAACTAGAAAAGCTCTAAATGTATTTTGCTGTCAGTGGAGGTATTTCAGACAGTTTTTCTGACACTTTTAAAAAAATTGCTGTATTTTTGTCAGCATGCTTGCAAACCTCCAGATCCCATTAACTACAAACAGGTTAGCAGTGCAGCTACAAACAGTGCACACGCATCACACACTGTGGACACTGTGGACAGGGCACCGAGTGTGTCACAGGGGCATTGAAAAAAGATAAGAGCAATGAAAAGAAGTAAGTAACTACTATAGACACCAAAGAACCAGTAAGTAGTAGGTTATAGAATGTACGCTGTCTTCCTGACACAATTAAAATAAAATGTGTGATGCTCCCATCTCCCTGTGCTTTGCTTGGATTGCACATGACCCCTGTCATGCTTATCAGGCCAGCTGAAAGTAAAGTACAGATAGGACTCCAGGATTCCTGGCATTTAGGAAATAAGCAGCTTTTGAGGAAAGAAAAATTAAGAAAATGTGGGATGGCACTAGCGCACCACTTTAGCATAGCAATTAGGAGGGAGCGCTGAATTCCATGTATTCAGTGTGCAATTTATGCAAGTGGCACAGCAGCAGTAACTTCATTAATTATCTAAATCTTCTGATGAGGCATTGCAATCTTAAAGCAGCCTTATTACCCTAAATGCTTTTCTGCAATATCTAGTAGTGGCCATGAAATGGACCTTCAGCATTGGACTATTTCCTTTTAATTTAATGTGGTCACAGCAGTACAAACAGCCTGCCAACAGCAAAAGTAAGCATTAATAATACAGTTGAAATGTCATGCATCTCAGCTTGTAACAACATAGTTTGCCTGCTTTGACTCGCTAAATGGCACTGAAGGTAATATTGAATGAGATGTGATGTTCACAACAGAATGTTTGTTTTTCAAAGCATCATGATCTTAGAAAACTGCCAAGCAGAGAAAGAAAAACATATTGCTTTAAATGTCATATCAATATAATAATGAAGAAATTAGATAACCACAAACACACAAAAGATTACCAAAGAAAATCTTAAAAAGAAAACCAAATAAAAAACAAACTAACCAAAACAATAGGATTTCAAAGGGGATGTAGTAGTAGACACAAGCTAGCCATCCTGAAATATTCCAGTAGAGTATTCCACAGCACTGGGGCCCTGACTGCCAAGGTACGGTCACCCCTTATAACAAGGTTTGCTCTTGGCATAACCAGTAACCAGCTGCTAGATTATGACCTCAGATTATGAACAGATACATAAGGGACTTTAAATGTTAACAATACAATTTAAAAATCAGTTTTGAAAATCATGTGGATGAAGAGAAACCTAAACAGGAACAATATTATATATTGTTACTTTCACAGCCTGGCCAGAAGCTGTGCAGCTGCTTTCTAAGCGATTTATTCTGTTTTGTCTGAGCCCAGAATAATTCGTGTTGCAGGAAATCAGTGGTGATGCAACAACTGAATTCACATTGGTAGCCATTGAAAAAGTCACACTGTGACACGTTATCTCTCCAGAGATAATTGGCTACGTTTTCCACGATAACAGCGTGTTTGTGCCGCAGCATTGCATGTGTTACAGTACAATGTCTGTAGGCGGAGCTCACCTTACACACATCTTTTCACAGGTACTGTGTACATCCACTACAGCACTGTGGCTAATGTGATATCACATCATGCTGCTTTGAGAAAACCTTTGTACCAGGCCTATTTTAGTCTATACTGTGTGTGTGGATTTAATGTCAGATTAGCAATGCACTACTTTATTTAGATCAGCGTGAGAGAGGAATACGTACTCTTAATTTAACAATGTTCCCAAGTTGAAGAAAGCAAGATCTCAGAGTTGCTTTCATTTGCCCACTGAAAGTCAAGTATAAGTCAGACGGTCTTTAGCCGACAGCTTAACAGTTAAAGGCTGATAGGCTTTCACACCTATTCTCTAATGAACATTTCTCTTTAGGAGGATCAGGTGTCTTGTCCTGGTTGAGCTGTAAAGGTTTTTGACACATCCAACCGTGAAAGTCAGATAGGCAGGTCAGGAGAGAAGAGGAGATACGTGGATCTGATGTTCTGAGTGGGAGGTAGCTCTGTGTGTCATCAGCATAGTAAGGAGAAGGGAGGAAGGAAAGAGAAGGAGACTTTATGCTCCCAAATGTTGTGTCTGAAGGGGAGCATCTAAACACAGAATAGTAAAGGCCCAAAAATGGATCCCTGTGAGACTCCATAGTTAAGAGGAGGTGATGTAGTGTTGGCATTAGCTAAGACAAGTGAAAATGTTTGCTCACACAAAAATTATTTAAACAGGGTTACATAATAAGTTCACTCAAAACACCACCACCCGCTATCACCTCCTGTGATCTCACATCTTACATCAGTTTGCACTATCATCCAGGCATTGGTCAGCCCCACATTGCCTTCAGTACCAAAGAGATGGAGGCCCTTCTTCAGATCCCTCTGGGCATAGTGATCAATCTGAGAAAACAGGACAGGAGATCATTTAACAAATCTAATCTCTGTTTAAGCTTCAGTGAGGTGTGATTGAGCAGCTTGTTTCATTTTTAATCAGATAGGAACAATATAAAAACAAATACAGTAACCATGTAAATTCTTTGTTTACTTCTGCAGTGCAAACATTTTTTAAATCAGTGAACAATCTGATATAGATTGTTTTTGTAATATGAATTCTATGACATTTTGACAGTACAAAAAGCTGGGAACCATCACATTTACATGAGGTAGCTCCATTTGATATGGTGAGCCACTTGTTTAATGTGATAGATTGCTAGAAAACATGCTCACAATTAAAAAAAAAACAACAAGAATACGTTTTAACTTTTCACCAAGGTGGGCAATTCTCATCATTCAAGACAATAAACAGTAAAAAGAACAAACATGATCACAAATCATCAGAAATACAGCAATATCTGTGTTGATAGACTTTTAAAAATCTCTCCACATAGGAATATTTTACAGCAGTTTGTTCATGGTTTTTATAGCACAGGGTACTAGGCTGTCTTATGTATTGTTTTTGGTTACCAAATCAGAATAGGAATCAACATTACTGACCACGTATGTTTTACTCGAGTATAGAGGCTCTCACTGTGCTTTTTGAGGCACAAAAATTAAACGTAGGGTTGGCGATTCCTTCCAGAAGCATTTTTTGTTTTTGAATTTCTCTTTTCACCCTGATGGCAATGAATTCATTAAATGCACTGACAACATAAAGAAAAAAAAACCCTCTCATCTGTGGCAGCAACAGGGCTGAAAAAATCTTGACCAATAATTTTACTCATCCCAAGCAAAACCATTGAATGGCCTACCTGCCTGTCAGCCTACTTTCTACTTGCATGCACTCTGCATGTGCACTCAATGTGTGAGCCAAGCATGTCCCACAAGGCATTGCAGTTGTGGGCAGTCATGTTCCAGCTGTTTTTATTGCTAAATCTAGTGAGCTATGGCAGAGAAGGTACCCACAGCAAATTTCAGAACAAAACAGAAAACCTTGTGTAATAAATGTATAAATTCAGCTATTTGATTTGATTTGATTTTGATTTGATTTATTCTTTCAAACATGTAACGACAGTCAGTATGTAAACACACATATTTTCACACATATCCACAAATGCATTATCAATTTGCTTATACCTAGTACATGCTTGAACGGAGTAGGAAGAAGTTAGACTTATCTATTCCTACCCTATAACATCATCTTACCATCATTGGTTTGCAAGCAGTATTACTACATAGATAATTTTGTTCTACACCACGCTAGTGATATACTAAAAAATATTACAGACTGTTAACATTCTTACATAATCACATACTTTGATAATTATCTTCTACATCACACAAGTAAAAATATTACATAGTGTTAACATTCTTACACCACACCCACAATGTTCCATCTGATTAATCATTGAGCCTATTCTTGCATATATCTTGATTGACACATACTTTTATATTTATGTTTAAACTCATCAATTCTATTACTGTTTTTTATGTCCACACTTAAATTATTCCATAGTTTTACCCCACTTATGGAAACACAAAATTTTTTTTGGTTGTACGTATAGCATGAATTTTTAAATTTAACTGACCCCTTAGATTGTATCCCCCTTCCCTTTCATTAAATAGTTTTTGAATTCCACCAGGTAATAAATTGTTCCTGGCTTTATACATAAACACAGCAGTCTTATATCCCACTATATCCAAAAATTTTAACAATTTAGACTGTATGAAAGCTGCATTGGTGTGATCCCTATAAGACTGTATGAAAGCTCCATTGGTGTGATCCCTATATCCCATCTTATGCACAATTCTTATCGCTCTTTTTTGTAATATATACAATGGTTGAAGTGAGATTTTGTATGTGTATGTATTTCACCAGTTTTCAACGCCATACTCTAAGTATGGTAAAATCAGTGAAGAATACAAAATGTGTAGTGCTTTCCCGTCCAAAATATATCTAACCCTTGCCAATATCGATATGTTTTTTTGCTATTTTGTGCTGAATATATCTGATATGAAATTTCCAGGTGAATTTATCATCAACTATGACACCTAGAAATTTAATTTCATATACTCGTTCTATATTAGCTCCCCCAATTGTAATTGTAGGTTTTGCCCGGATGCCCATATGGTAGTGTCATCAGCAAATAAGACCACTTTCACTAAATCCGAAACCTTGCATATATCGTTAATGTATAATATAAATAATTTAGCTCCCAAAACTGAACCTTGAGGCACTCCACATACAATGTCCAG